TGGCGCTTACTCCTGCAGATAAACATACATGTTTTTTTTTATCTGTGTGTGTGTGTGTCAGGGTATATGCAGGAATCCTGAAGTCAAATTTAATACCTTTTAAGACCTTTTTTAAGACCCTTTCCATACATTTTAAGACCTCATCGCAACTTTGAGTTCTAACCGGTTACATTGGCAACACACTTTACTATATTGATTGTAAGATAGCAAAACTAAACAGAGTGCAGACAGACTACTGAAGCCTCCTTTCCACATGAACTTCAACCTCTCTGTGAAGGTCAGGTTTAATGCAGAATGCTGCTTTTTTGCTTCTGTAGACTCTGTGCTCTTTCATTCCAGTAAAACTCCTCAGAAACCANGGTGTGTGTGTGTGTGTGTGTGTGTGTGTGTGTTACCCGCTGGATGAGGTACTGGCCAGTGATCGTCTGAGGCTGACTGGCTGGTTGACAGACTGGTTCAGATCGTAGGCCAGATGACCCTGGAGCTCCCCCATAGAGAAACTAGGTCCAACTCCTGTGACTACTGGAGCTACACATACATACACACACACACACACACACACACACACACACACACACACACACACACACACACACACACACACACACACACACACACACACACACACACACACACACACACACACACACACACACACCAACATTGAATATCAGTTCATCTGCTCTCTTTTTATATTGCATTTTCTTGCTTTTCTCCCTCCTTGTTTGAGTGTGTAACAAATCAAATGTTCATTATCCAGATAAGAAATATAATTAGACAAAAACTCAGATTAAGGCTGCACAATTAATAGAATTGATATCGATATATAAAAATGGACAAGTGCAATGTCCAAAATATCAGAAAGCGCAATATTTGTTCGCAAATATTTGTTTGTGGATGACACTTACTTCTTGATACCTGGACGAGCTCAGTGACACTGAATACTCCTGATGTCACAAAACTGTCCTGGAACTCTGGACCCTCTGTGGAAACAAAGCAGCATTTAGACACGTATGATGTTTCAATTATCTCGCTATGCACAATATATTCTTTGAAACAAATGTAATAGTATTTAGAAAAACCATATGACAATCCAACTGCAGTGGTCCTTACAGGAACTATTGTATCATAGTTACGGCAAATGTCTGCATAACTGATGGTTCTATCATCTGACACCTGTGCATAGACTTCTGACTGTCTTTTTATGTGTCAGACAGGTGGAGGTGGAAGAAGAACTGAGATCCTTTACTTAAGCAAAAGTAGAAATACTTTGGTTTTAAAATATAATATGATCCATTTCAGAATCTGATCTAAAAGGTACAGAAGTATTCTGTAATCATTTTAGAGACTTCAGAAAATACACAAATGATATTTACATTTCACCATTGGTCTTGTGTAAAAAAGGACCAACATAACATAACCTTTTGGGTAACCAGGTGTACTGCTATTTCTGTATTAATTAAGAGCCTCAACATTACCCATGGTGGTGGTCCGGCTGTCCTCCTGATCAGAACCCACTCCTGTTCGACTGGGACTGCTGCTCTGCTCTGCTTCTGGAGAGAGAGAGAGATTTCACTTATTTAAACACTTTAAGGTAACGATAAATCAGCTACCATATTAACAGTCAGAAAGAAAGATATTTAAATAGGCATCAATAGTGAAGGACACTGCCCCTCATCTATCCAGATTTAATTTGGATTAGATTAGATATACTTAATTGATCCCAGACTGGGAAATTGTTTAAAATGTTAGCCAGTATGTCTTCTTGTCTCAAGAATTTAGCCACTGACAGTGCTAATGGGGGGATGTCTGTCCTAAACGTTTGAATCTTTAACTGCAGTCTCCGGTTGTGAGAGAAAATTGTACATTGCGTTGTTATGCTCTGTCACAGACAAAACTTGTGATTAGCATGTGTGCAATTTTAAATACCCCATGATGACAAACATCTCTACACCGCACACATACGCCTGCAATTAACAACAGTGACAATCCAACATACAATCCTTGCACTTGCATTCTTGGCAGTCTACTGGTACATTTAGGCATACCATGTGCAGGACCGGGACGTGTAAAGAAGCTCCACAGTCTGACAATGTGTATGGACCTGGGGCCCTTCCTTAACAACAGTTACAGTGCAGCAGCAGCAGCAGGCAGACTCTGCTGATGGATGCATATAAACAGTGTCCTGCTAATCAAGTGTTGTACACACTGTATGCCAGTAGAGGGCAGGGCATAACAATACATTAAGAATAGATCATTGTCAGGGTGGACATTTTGACAGCTGTAAAACCTGCAAAAGCATTATTATTGGCTACTTTCAGTGAAAGTTTGTGGGACATCTCTAAGCGGTTGACGAATAAGAGCAGACCGGGATCTGGTTTCAGACAGAGGGTGAAAAGAAAAAAGTATGAGAAAATAAATGCCTTTTTGAACATTGAACCATGTTAACATGTCGCAGATGAAGCACAAAATACAAATATAAACCCTAAAATAAGCTTTATAGGGCCCCTTTACGATTAAGGCTAGTATGTTTATAGTATATTACAGACAGCACAAATATATCTAAAATAAACCAAAGGGAAAAGAAAACAATTCAGATAGAAGGTAGTTGTAAAAACAGTTGCATTCTGCAAGAGTTGCAGAACTATACAAATCAAATGTTGTTAAAAGACATCTGGAAAAGCAGCTGTAAACATTAAGGTTTTTAGACTTGATTTCAAAAGAAAAGAGCTTGAGGCGGAATTCAGATATTCTGGAAGTTTATTCCAGATCTGTTGAGTATAGAAACTCAAAGCTGCCTCTGCGCGTCAGGTTCTGACCCTGTCCCTGATGATCACATACATACATTTATACACTGATGAACATGTCACACATGTATTGTGATACTCTAAGCCAGTGCAGAGATCTGTGAACTGGCGGGACGTGTTCTACTCTTTTTGTTTAAGTCTGTAAAGACATAGTTGCAGTGATCAAGTCTACTTAAGGCAAAGTCATTTATCAAAGTCTTGCTGAGTATAATTATGTATAGTTATGTTAAGATATTTTGGTGATATCTGATTACCTTGTGACCCTTTGTCAAAAAAAAGTTTTCCTTTTTGGTATCTTCAATATAAACATGGAAGAAAATGGCTAGAAATCATTGGAATATCATTGAGTTGTCCTTTAGAAGTTACTGTCACCAATATGTAGAACACATAGTCTAAATACCAACCTACTTTACAACTGCACCACACTCACATCTTCTAACTCTGCCGACACAATATGTGCAGACTTCCATGAGCCGAGCATGGGAGCACACTGGTTTCCACCATAAGTAGAGCAAGTGTTGAGGGAATGTGCATGAATGCTCTTTCAAACCCAGAACCAATCAGCATTCCTTTGGTTCAGAAAGGTCTGGTATCTTCCGACCGCTATTCCGTTCAGTCATATAAGCTGGAGTTGTGTCTGTGCAAGGTTACACTGCAGAGTGACACTCCTTCGGCTCCTGAAGCCACAATATACAAACCAGATGTGAACGCTGCGTTCTTTCTCTGTGTTTGAACTCGTAGCTGCATTAACCATATTTATACAAGTGGTATCAACCGACCAATGAGAAAGAGCAGCAGCTACGAGTATCATTTAAAACATTCGCAGGCCTTGAAGGATTTCTTAGAGCCATGCCATGCCATAAAGAAGCTTCTGAGAGATTCTCTGCGTATGAACTCAGATATGGACAATCGTGGCTCCAAGAGGGTGATTATCATAGAGAGCTAATAAAAAAACAGATCTCATGACAATAAACATAAAACTGCTGGCTAGAAATCAGGGAAAAATGGCTTGGATTTCCTGGTCCCAGATGGATAAATCCTCATCTTATTCTTTCTACAAAAGTGTCTGACGCTCAATACAGCATTTGGTTCCAGACTCAAATATCTCAACAACTATTTAAGTAGATGTTTAGAGCCACAGAATAATCGCAAATCTGTTTTTCTCCATGAACAATCATGTCCTTGAACCTTTCATCAGCTTTCTTTTTGCGCCACCTTAAGGATAGTATATCTTATTAACCGATTGCTGCTTTCTGAACACATTCATGTTCACGTTCACCTCCCCAGAGGAGGAACTCTGTTTTTTGAGGATCTTCTCCAGTCCAAACCAAAAGTGTAGGGAGGTGGTCTTGCACCTCAGAGGAGATGGGGGTTTATGTTCTGAGTCCACTTCATAGTTAGTTAAACTAAAAAAATGTCCAACTCAATAATGACGTAGATTTAGTCAAAAGACATCTGATTAAGAGTTCAACGACACTGAAGCTTCTCCATATCCTCATGGTCTAACATAAACGTGTCCCTGAAAGCTGTTGAAGGGGTCCTCTTCCTCTTTTTTGTTTGCACTCCTCCTGTCATGCGTCTGCTGCCTCTCCTCTTGTTTGTGCTCTCAGCTCCGAGATGTGGAGTTTAGCCTTAAATACCCTTTCTTGGTTCAACAATGACATAATATAATGTATGTGTTTTGCTTTCTGTCTGGATTCTTCACTGCCCTTCTTACTCTGGCAGTGAAATCTCAGTGTCCTAGCATCCGTAAAGCAGTGGGCTTATCTATCAAAAATGAAAATTATAGGCCTTTTTTGCAATGGCTCAGGTGCCATCAGGGAACACACTTCAATAATCAATCCACACTTCAGGCTAACTGGTGACCAAGAACTTCTTCGACACCTGTAAAGAATGATGAAAGCATAAATACCAGTGTACAGGAAATTCTGCATCTAATTTATACTCTAGCAACTGCTGATAACACAAAAGAAAAGCAGTGATGACCTTCCTACAGAGTCTGACTCTCCATATGTACACTATGGCTATAAGCCTGCCATAGTCCACGTATCTCAGGCAGCACCCTCCTCCTCCTCCTCCACTAGCTGCATCCTGTGCTAAGAGCCGCCCAGGAAGATAGTGATTGGTCTAAAGAAATACAGACAGCTCCAGTGTTTTCCCTGTAGCAGAGTGATAATGTGTGGGTCCAAACCTCCAGAGCACAACCCACTGATGTAACAGAATGTAAAGGTGGAGGTAATGTTATACATCTCTTTTGTATGTGTTGTTTTTTTGTTAATTGATTAATCTAAAACTCTGGAATGGTCTAAGTTATATTTGAGAAATCTGTTGCACTAATCCCTATGTTATTATATTATTCTTACGTGTATGTCTAGTGCATGTAAACAGATGTATTGTAATGACACAAATTCATATTTATATAATTATTTGCTTTTCACTTTGTATTATTTTTGAAATGTTAACACTGCCCAAAAGCAACTGAGCAACCCCTCCCAGTTTTTCCAGCCTGTGCTAAATGTGTTTTTAATATGGGAGGGCTATTTAAGAGAATGTGAGTCTCCTGCACTAAAGACACATTATCAATGAGGTTTGTTGCCTTATTGCTGTAGTTACAAGTCTACTTTGCTGAAAATCTATGATATGGCTTCTGAAACCAAGCACAGCTTCTTATCAGCATTGAAAGAGCGGCAATTAAAAACATTTATGTTGGTTAGGAAAATTCTACACACAAGAACACAAACATTCAAATTAACAGGGACCCCAATAGCGTCCCAGGGGGTCTCTCTCTTTAAGTTACAAGAAGACAGCACATAACACAATCCATAACACAAGAGCCCAGAGCGTATGTCTGAACAAAGACAGGTCATAATTTCCCCATCCAGCCAGATGTCTCATAATATCCTAATTTGCCACGAAAGACTGCAGGATGTGGGTGTCATACATATTTTGACTTTCTCTTCTACATAGGAAAGTTATTTTTGGAACAATGTTGTACAGTGAGTTCCCAGTAAGGTGTTATAATACGGCTAGAGTTCACTTTTACTGTGTTTGATCAGTCCAACCATTGCTGCATCGGGAAAGTATATTTTACATAAAGCCAACAAGTTTTATCTTACTACACTATATATTGCATGCTTCGGTAGTATATATGTACATGTAATGGTACAATTGTATTACACAATTATTTCTACACTATATCCTGCAATTATCTTTACTACATTTTCTGGTAATCTTTTAATACACTGTATTCTTAAATGATCTTGACTACATTTTACTACACTATATACTGCATGCATCTACACTACATATACTTGTAATATGATACCACAACATATACTGCATGTATATGTACATCATGTACTGGTACTATTTTACTTCACTTTATACTACATTACTGACTAACTGACATTATGTTAATCTAACAAAGTTTTGTTCCGTATCCATTGAGATTTATACTTTTTTTTTCAAATGTCGGACTAGTGCTACAAAGTTTAAGCAGATTCTAAGCCTACACTTACATACAAACATGGGAGCATTTTTGTTTGGCTGTATTTAATTTAGAGAGCCATTTTGGGATCAGAATATGTCTTAACAAAAGAAGATGGATAGCACAGTCTGCTGAAAATGTGTGTAGGTTCATACCTCTCTCCTGTACGTAGTAAGCGAGGTAGAGGTCCAGCTCTTTGACAGAGACAGCGATGTGTCTGGGCTGGACGCAGAGGATTGGGTTGGAGCAATGGCCTCCCTTAACCAGCCGCTCTCCGTCTGTGCTTTCCAACGGGATCCCTTTAAACAGGATGACCATCACCAGGTCCAACCTCCAAACCTTTGGAAAGACAACCCATCAGTACTGAAAGAAAACTGCAGGCTGGGTGTAGCAGTGGAGTAAAGCATGCTGGATCGCTCTAAACGTGGACTATACTGCTCATCATATGTTTGACTGTGAATGTATTATTTAATTATATGTCAGAAAAGAGGATGATGTCATTTACAGAAGGATACATGAAGACACTTGTGTTTGTGTGTGAGACCTTGAAGCTGACACATATGTCTGTAATATGGATATAGGGAACATGAGGAAAACCTGACAAACAGCTAACCATTATCCTTAAATGGTTTGAACTATGTAAAAATGTTCAGACAGTGTAATACAATGTTGGACATTTTAGAGAACTATGTGGGAATTGTCAAAACAAGATTACATTGTAACCGTTTATTATAAGGGTACCATGATTTTCATGTCCACCTTATTATAGCCGCGGCTGGTTTTGAAATCTGTGGGAGGTGACACATATCCCTTAATAAATACCACTCATGTGTTTGCATGCTATTTGTGCATACAGATGGTTTATACATTGGCCCCAGATGTCTTTCCTTAATAATAAATCAATGACATGGTGTGTTACAGACTCAGACACTAACAGTGAAACATTCAAACACACTTTAATCTCAATCATAAACGTTTGAGCAGTGCTTTACACATATTGCTCCAATTAGCTCACTGTTTAATGCCATATTGAAAAATAAACCCCTTATTCTAAAACATCAAACATATGGGAAATTCTACCTTTATGACACAAACATCTTGTTGATAAAACCATTATGATTTAACCCTTTTTACTATCGATATCATTAGAGAAAGCTCATGTAGCCTGTCTTCGGGCCAAAGAAGAAAAAAACAATGCATAGTTGAGGTTCGATTGCATTTACCAACCATACAGAATTGAAATACTAATTCAGTTTACCTTGTCAGCTTGTCGGAGACAGTCTATGCGTCTCATTTTGCCTTTCTGGTCCGGATTGGACAGGACACAGCACGCAGCTTTCTTCCCAGTGATTGACAGGACAAAGTCTTCTCTGCATTCAGGTCTAATGTCCTTTCTGAGCTTTGCCAAAAGACGGCTGGCCCACTTCTGTTTCACCTACGATCGCAATGACATTGTAAAAGCAGTCAATACAAATAACTGAACAAAAGAAAGGTTTTCCATGAATCCGTAATTATCACATTTCTACTATCCATCCCACCTCTGCCTTCTCCCCCAGCAGTTCGTCTTTCACTGCTCTCTCCTCTTCTTTAGTCATCCTTTTTTCATGCTTTTTGAAGTACTTCCTTTTTCTGGCCTGGAGGTTGAACCATGTGTAGGCAAAGGCACGGACCTGGGGCAGCAGAGCCTCAATGAACGGATGGAACTCATCCTACGTGACAGATAAAGATACACACTCAACACACACACAATAATCAGAACATATAGCAGGAGTGCAGCATTCTCCAGGTCAACTGAATCACCCTTTCCTTTCTGACGTTGTCATGATCAATTCTCATAGAACTGTGGATGCTTTAATTGGACTTTATTCTGAGCCATTTTAGGATCATAAAAGCATAATGGGTGAATAATTAAAACCAAAAAGATTGAAGTTGATAAACCGTGAGAACTGAACATCCCGATTCTGAAGACTATTAGAAGCTTCACAATATGCAAGTGGACTTTATTCAATGTAAATGTTAATGTCTGCTGTTGATCCATACTGTAGTGAGGGCTGCTGGGGTTTACTATTTTGAACACAAACTGCTCTACCTGCTGAGTGTAGTGACAGTGTAGTGTCGGAGGGAAACACACAATCCAAAACAATAAGCTAATGCAGATCGAACATCAATAAAGGGATTTTAATTAACAAAAGATTTGAACTTTCTTCAACTTACTCTAAAAATAACACAACTTAGTCAATAATTCAGCAGTATTTTTGCGGCATAATTCCAAGAGGAGCTAGACTCCCTCCTATGTAAAATCCTTGAAACTGGCCCTCTGCTTCTCAGAGACTCCAAAATCTAGACGGAGAATCAGATAACTTATTACTTTTGCTTACCTACGTTGTACTCTTACTGACTCCATCCCCACCTACTCACAAATTGGCAACCACTTTGAACTCATATTCACCAGGATTAGCTCTATTTCTAACCTTTCTGTAACCCCGCTTCACATCTCTGATACATTTTTCATATCCTACTCTATCCCCTTATCCAAAACTGATAACCAAATCTCTTCTAATACTGTACCTGTTCGCCGCATGCCCCCCGACACTAGCGCAGACACTCTCCTCTCCACTCCACTGTGCTCCTCTCTGGATTCTCTCTGTCCTCTCACCTCACGGAAGGTTTGACAGTTCCCTCCGGCTCCCTGGTTGACTGTGCGTGCTGACAAGGCATCTGATGACCTCATTTACTTCTCAATCTTTTCTCTTCTCTTCCACTCTTTCTATCTCTGCAGCAAAAACACTTTCTTTCAATCTAAATTCAACCCTTTTTTAAGCCGTTTTCAATTGCTTTGAAAAAAGATACAGAAGATGACCTTGCTACCAAAGAAACCCAGGTTAACCCTTCGGAATTCAAATAATACAGACCTGTTTTTCATCCTCCATTTCTTTATAAAACATTTGATTGCATTGTCATTAATCAACTATCTTTTCACCTTTATCAGAACAACCTTCTTGATCTGCAGCAGTCTGTTTTCAAGGCAGGATAATCAACTGAGACTGCCCTCCTAGCATCACTGAGTTACCCCTTTGTTGTCATTCTTCTGGACCTCTCTGCTGTGTTTACAACAGTGAACCACCATATCCTCATTTATACTCTCCAAGAACTGGAAGTCTCAGGTAGTTTCCCTGCTCACATCTCACTTCAGAGACCACAACTACAGGGTAACTTGGAAAGTGTCAGAATCTTTTAAAGTCAACACTGGGGTCCCTCAGGGCACCATCCTGGGACCCATTTTATTTGTTCTACACCAATTCACTAGGCTTTGGCATTCACTCTCCTGGCTTATCCCATTACAATGAGGCAGATGAGAATCAATTGACTACGTAATTTTCCCGGTCAGAACCCCAGGGGACTGCTCGAATCACTGCTCCTCTTGGTGACATATCTCAGTGGATGCCAGTACACAGTTTGATCTGAACTTCTTGAACAAAACCCAACTGATTTTCCTACCAGGGAAAAGTTTTCACATCAAAAATCCTTCTTATTAACATTGACACCTCTGTGGTTTCTCCGACTCAGACTATAAGGAATCTGGGTGTGACACTGGACGACCAACTGTTTTCACTGCCAACATCCCAGCAACAACACGCTCCTGCAGACACACTTACTCTTGCTTTCTTGGCTCCAAAATGGTGGACTGAGCTCTTCAGTGATATCAGAACAGTGAAATTCCCACCTGTTTTGAATGCGAATGAATAAATAAATAAAAACTTCCATTTGTGTATAGCACTTTGTTGTTGATTGGAAAATAATGCCCAAGCACTTAAAAAAAGTTTGGTATATTTTAAGCTAATGTACTCGCAAGATTCTTTTTGTTCTGAATTGGTATCCTCATGGTTGATTGAAATTCAATAAAAAAAATTCCGTCTCATTGTGTCGTATACACTGGAGTAATCAAAACAACAATTGATTTATTAATAAACCAAAACCGTATCTAACATTGCATTTCTGTGTGCTGCTTTGACTAATCATTTTCATAATTTCCCAAGTCTAACCATAACCATAGCTCATAATTAGTGTGGCTCCAACACAGTAACAGCCTAATAAATTATTATTTGTTGAAACTATGCATATGACTGTAGTTTGGACTGAAAATAATCAATTTGCATGTTCGTTTTTGGATACAAATATTTAGTTAACTTTATCATTAAATAGTTAAAACTTTTAGCTTAGTATAATTGAATCTCGATTTTCTGTAGTGTTTGTAATTATTTAGTCATACGCTTATCAGAAGACTAGCTCTGTATTGTTAAATTGGAAATCCGGAGGAGGTTGTAGAGGGGAGGAGGAAGCTATCCTGCAGATAATTATTAACTGCATACATATTTACGGTATATACATGTCTGTGTTCACTGAATAAACCTTCTCTGGACTTGCACATAGACACGTATATACCGTAAATATGTATGCATATTAATAATTATCTTCACTCAGTAAATATGTAAACTCACATACCTTTACATAAAACTATTATTTTTATTTAGATTGTATAATGTACTATTTATATATTGTATATGTATTGTATATTGTGTGTCTGATCTACACTGTTCTGAAATGTGTAAAATGATAGGACTGGGTCCAGAGCATAAAGAAGTCTGTTTCCAAACAGTTTGATATGTCACTACATTACATTCCAAACAGAGGTGATAAGGTAGGCCACTCTTAGTGTCAGGTCACCACAAACATAGGAAAAAACATTCACACACACCACAAAAGACACACAGTGACTAACACAGTGTAGAGTAGCTAATAAACCAGCAGGCCTGCTGCACTTATTTCACTGTCTGCCCTGTTCTGCAAACCGACAGCAGCTAGGCATTGTTGAACACGATAACTGTCATGAAATAGTTGTTCCTATACTTTGCATTATCAAATCAACACAGCTTCATAGTTGTAATCAAATAATGTAGGGCGGCGCAGTTTTACCTGAGACAGAGAGAGGGGAGAAAACATCATGTTGATGAGGAGCAGCGGATCAGAGCACAAACATCCCGAGGCTCGCCATTTGTGTGCGCCGCGGCAGAGGCATCAGCGGCGGGCAGCAGCAGCGGGCTACCCCCGGCTCTGCGCTTCCTGCCCTCCTCCCCTGGCTCTCCTCTCTCCCCACATATGAGCGGGCTCTGTTCGCCTCGGATGACTCTGCCGCGTTAACTCCAGAAATGATGACACGCCAGAAAAGTTGAGGCTCCGGAAAAGGCTCCGCAGGGAGAAACACACCGAGAGAAAGTTCTGAATTATAATCACTGCGCGGAGAGCACAGCCGGAGGGGCACCGGAGCACGGGGACGGTGTCATTTCGAGAGGGAGGGAGATGAGGGGGCGAAGAATAAAAGAAAGAGAAGTGAAATGACGTTATGAATTCAGCCCATCCCAAAAGACGGGCTTAAAGCCGCAGCAGCTGCAACACAGCACTCAGTTTATGTGGACCCGCTAAACATGCACTTCACACACAATGTACACAGTGTACACACTACTATACAGTCACACAGAGGAAACTGATACACGCACAGTTTACATGAGGACACCAGTCTATGGAGGACACGCTTTATAGTCAGTGTACAACATCACTACACACAGTTTACATGAGTATCCGCTTTACATGCACTACTACAGTGATGGAAGCAGTAGGCTCAGGTCTTTGAATTAAGTAAAAGTACCTATACCAATTTAAAAAAAAGTCTGTTATAGGTTAAATTCCTGCATACATAATCTTCCATGAGTAAAAGTATTTTATTTCTTCAAAATACACTTAAAGTCGAAAAAGTACTTGTTATACAAAATGGCCATCATATATATTGAATTATTGCAATAATAACACATGAATATGTTCATCAGAGCTGGTAAAGGTGGTTATTTTCATTATTTGATATACTGCAAAAATATTTTAACCTAGTTATATGAAAATGTTTATTTATTCATGGTTTATATTTTGCTGTCTAAAGTTGCTATATAGCAACTAAATCCTTCAGATAAATGTAAAGAGTTAAAAGTACAATATTTACTTCTTAAATGTAGAGTTAAACCATACATTTGTTAATACAAGTACAGCAAAATTGCAGCAGTACTTGAGAAAATGTACTTTGTTACAGTCCCACAGGGGACTCTGATACACACTGTAGGGTTACCACAACCCGAGGCTCTCAGATCATGTTTAAATGTTTTCTTCTGAAAAACATCATACAATTGAGGGTCATGGTGCTTCTAACACCCAGTGCTGGAATTCACATTCACATAAGTACAGTAAAAATCATTTTAGAATTTGCTGGGGAGTAATTGTGTCTTAACTTCGGTCGGGTAATCCAATTCTACTCCACTATTTTTCAGAGTGATGTATTTCCTCTGCCCTACAATATGTTGCTAGTTGTACTTGTAAATTAAGTTTTGCATCTAAAATATGCGACTCATTGTATAAATAAACTAAACATGAAAACATACATAATTATTATATAATTATGTAACACTCATAATGTGCATGTTTCTGCTCTAAATACTTTTCAGTTTAAAAACATTTTTATAATAACATTTGTGCACCTTTTACAATTTTTATTCCCAAACAGAGACTTGCAAATAAGTATTTCTGCAGTGTGAAACTGTAATCAAAGTTCATCAAAAGATCTGAATATTTTCTCATGAATTTATTTCAGAATCGCACACAGGTACAATTACAATGAAATGAAACACATGCTCTTCATTTGGCAAAGTATGAAGGAATTCAGCTGACATGTAACTAATATATTTAGTACATAGGGACATAATAAATAAGGCTATTTAGTTGATTAATGGTAAGCTGAGCTACAATCTAATATCCAGAATTAACCTAATTCTCTGTTTATGGATGGATTTGTATTAATGATGCATGTCATATGGAGAACTAATTTAACTTATTTATCGTCTATATGACTCCCTGCAGTTGAAATACAGACCTTGTTTACCATAAGACATTATTTTTATGATAAAATGTTTTTGTTTTTTTAAAACATATAGCCTAGTATCAGTCTTTCATCTCATTACTCTTATTGTCATAATTTATTGCTGGTGTTGCTGTTTTAAAAGGAGTAATGTATGACCCTTCAACTGGAGCAGCATTATTAATCTACCAACTGTCACATGATCGAGCAGTCTCATATCATTTCAGCCTGTTGGGCTCTCAAACTGTGTTCAGGAGAATTTCTCCACAGCAGTCAATCAAAAAAGCTAAAGTCTATCCTGAAATGTAATGTGTCATGTATCGACTGCTTTCTTCTCTACAGTGGCCTCTGAGCTGTTGTCTAGTGGCTCACATCCCAACTAAACTCGAGTGTTTCTCTGTGTTCACCCCAGCGGCTCTCTGCCCCAGCTGTTTCCCGGGACAGGAGGCCCTCTGCCGGCCTGTCATTCTAACTCAGCCCGCTGGCTCTAACTGCGGCCATTTTCTGCTGACTAACACACACACACACACA